TGTCAATGGCCAGGAGATACAATTGGTGGTTCAAGGTGATAGGATTTGGTGCGCAGATGTGAGGTCTGCTGCGTTCGTTCCTGGGACACCTGTCCAGCTGTGCGTCGTCCGTTCAATGTATACACTGATGGTTCTTTCTGACGATTCATATAGCTATCGATGCAACGGCACTCGTGCACAGCTCTGGATTGTACCGGCTAATGGCCTTCCTGGCCCCGTAAAGCTTGCCGGTACTAGCTTCTGCCTCGACACTGGTGGAGGTAAGAACTATTCTGACCACCGAGTTGTTATCGTAATCGCTGATGGGTTTTACCTAATACTCTAGGACCCAGAAATGGCGCGAGGTTGACTATTCAGACCTGTGTTCCCGGACGGCCTTCGCAGACCTTTGTCTACGATAACACGAATGGACGCTACACTTTCTCGACCACCGGTGGTTAGTCTCCCTCAATTATATACCTTGGATACGTCCTCACTGTCTTCGATTCATCTATAGGTCAATGCTTGGATAATACCGATGGGAGAATGGTCGACTGGAATCCCCTGCAAACCTGGGGATGCTCGGTCGATAATCCAAACCAGAGATGGCTAGCGTTCGCCTAAGCTACCTTAATTTCCTAGGACTGTAGATTGATGGACATCGTATGGATGGTAGTATTACCTTTGGACTTTGTGCAAAATAGGACTGTACTATACGTTTTGGACTTGATGCATGAACCTTTGTATACGAATCGACGATACGCGGGCGGCAAGTGAAGAAGTCGTGACTCAAACAGACTTGAATTTTGTTGTTCTCCTTGTCACGAATCACGATTACATATCCATAATGAACGTCTTGACTCCGTTGGCATAGCGAACATCGTTAAAAGGACAATGCATATGGTTTTATTAAATGTGAACCCCGAAAGAGGAAAATCGAAGAAACATGGAGCTAGTTATTCAACTAAATATCAGTCAAAAGAAGGTTTATGAACAGATAAACGGGTATGATGCATAAAGGGCGAAGTACAAACACCCTGCATGGATTGACAAAAATAGATGTGGAGCGAAGTTCGAGCAATGCCCAAGCCATGACTTGGCGGGCGCTAATTATTGGCTGAAATTTTGGCTTTGGCCTTCGACTTTCCCAATTCAGCACGCCTCTTCATCACTTCCGGTTTTGTAGGGGTTGTACCAGGCGTAGGCGCCCTAGGAGACCTGGGTAAAGCATCTCGCCTCCTTATTTCTCTGCGCCTGACGCAGTTGTTCACAGCATTTATAGGACACGCAAATGTGCCGACCACGATCGAGCCAGATGACTACAACGAGGGATGGTTAATCTGTGATTCTGCAAGGGATGAACGAAATGGACGTACGCCAAAATAGGAGCATACTACGGTACTGGCATATGTACAAACGAAGGGGTTGGTGAGGTACGCTTCAATGAGGAGCGGAGATCCAAAGGTGTCGGTATTGGGACACACGAGGCAGGTTGCGACGGGAGACTGAGCTGACGCGAAGGGAATGCCTCCAAACAACTGTGTCGCAGAGACCAGGAGGGCTATCAACCGGACTACTAGGAGCTTGAACGCGGAGATCATTACGACTTTGGCGCCGCGGTGAATGAGTGGATTATGTGTTAGGTGAGCTGGTGAGGCGTGTCAGAGGCGGCATGATCTAAAAACTATCAACAACCCTGTTATCTATACATCTCAGTCTGTTGAGAGTTTCTGCGACATTGTGATATTCGTTCGGAATTCCCGTGTTCTGCCTTTGCATAAATGTGTCAAGGAAAGACAGAGAAGATCCAAACAAGAAATAATCTTATATTCATGGATCAATTTCGTTGAATTTGAAGTCACGACGCCCCAGTTTTCCTCAGTGCAAAGACTTCGTTACTTACGTCTGTATCGACATCTGCCACATTCGTTATTGGCAGGACCGTACGAGACTAGCTGCTTCCGAATAGGCGATGCATGTTTTTTAGCTTGAAGGACTTGTCACTGACTAGAAGCCATCGGGGAGCGTATCTCGCTTCATCGAGCAAAGTCAGATATAATCTTTGAGCAATACTGTTTTAGGCTTGCTCTTCCATAAGGCAAACAAAGGACGACTTGACAGGAGGCACATGAAGGTTAGATGGTATGGTGACAGTTCATGGTGAATCGTATACCTGTCCCCCAGCTTTATGCACGCGCAGATGCCTTCCTTAGCCGGATATCGCGGCCTGTCATTGGAAAACGCGTCACCTTCTCAGGATCACGACGCGTCCTCTCGTCTGATCAGTGTGGTTGCAGTGTGATATTGTGTCTTCCCGCTCTGACGCCCACCGAATCGTGAACTCGGCTAAAATAGGGCTGTGCTCGGTGTAGTAGTTCGCACTCCGTTCCCAAGGGAAATATGGTCGCGGGTAGTTGCGACACCCTCCGCAGCAGGTGGTAACTAATCCGTCGATTCGGGTTTCTGACCCCCTCCTTTCCTTTCGACCACTACGTCTCAGCTTCAAGCTCTTTCTTTGGCTTCGCCAGCATGACGCTAATATTTCAGATACCATCCACCATCCTCGACCCCCAACTCATCCAATTTGAGAAATCAAGCAACTACCCTCTCCCAGACTTTCTCCTCTCAGCACAGCAGGTCGTAATGACCTACTTACTGACTACCATGGTTGACATCGAGAACACAATAGTTGACCTTGAGAACTCAGTCAAGGAAATGAAGCTCAAGCTGGAAGCCGTTAAAAAGGAGTACACTTCGTTCTCGTCTCTCAACGTCAGGATTCGCAATGCTCCTTCCGAGCTGATTGCGAAGGTCCTAGAGTTCTCCGTATTGGGTGTCGAAGGGTCAGATGTCGAGGATAGGAAGAGGTTCAGACACCTACGTTCTGTCTGTCGACTTTGGAGGGACACTGCGCCCACAACACCTCGGCTATGGCGCGCACTGAGGGTGTGTTTGCGGCCTATAGATAAACTAGAACGGCCATACGGGGAGAGCAATTCGATCGACCACTTTATTCTGTCGTGGTTCAAACGCGCAGGAGAGCAGGCACCCCTTCAACTATGCCTGTGGGACGAGCCGAAGAATGAGGTTGCTGAGCTCATGGTATCGATTATCCTTGACTCAGGGAAGACGTGGCACCAACTGGGCCTCACGAGCCGCACTCTTTGCAAAGCCTTACAAAGACGAGAAGAATGGACCCTTCCAAGTGTCGAAGAGCTGACCATGTCGTTGGAATGCAAGATGGCTCTGCGAACGCGATTTCCCGGCCTGCGGAGCCTGTGCCTAACGCCCGGATCTCCCACTGCCAATCCATGGGATCTGACCCATCGTTATCTCCAATCCCTTCACTTGAGCAACATGCTCTCACCCCCTCTACACGACATACTTCCCAGCTTGCCAGCTCTAACGGAACTGATTCTTCAAGAAGTTTGCTGCGGTCCAGAGGGCACACCTATCACTTTCACCCACAAAGGCATCACAAAGCTCCATCTCATAGGCTCTCCAAGCATCCTTCAAGCAATTACTCTCCCCTCTTTGACGCTCTTCAAGGCATCCGTGGCGCAGCTAGAGCGTATCGCCTCAATTCACATCGCCGATCTCGCACAGTTCTTGGCCAGGTCCAGCACAAAAGAATGCACCTTGTCCTTAGAGGGCTGCGGGGACGGGGCTGCCTCCATTCTGGCGACTTTGAATGATTACAAAGTCCTCGGTGTCTCTCGCATACATGTTGTAGACATGAACTTCTTAAACGCTCAGGTAGCCAAGAACTACAGCTATATCCCGAAATGCGTGGGAACAATAGTTTGCCTCAAGCCCTACACGCCTATGGCGTCGTTTACTCGGTGGCTTGAGTGGCTTCGCGATGCTTGTGCCGGATCCGGGTTCAAAAAACAACTTACAGTCTACCTCCCGCACGATGAGAAGCATGCTCTAGAGGTCAGCGCATTACTCGCCCGACTCCGTGAATTCGGACTCGACTTTCGTCTATGCACGCAGAGTACGATCGATACGTCGACCTTCTACGACTTTCGAGGGCATCGTGATCCCTACAAGTCTCGTTACGAACATCAGTAAATTCTATTACTCTGAATGATCTGTTTGCTACCTTTTATCGAAGGTTCACTGTACATCACATTTTCGAGGCTACTATTTATATAATCCATATATACGAATGATGTGGTTGAACTCCAAAATAGTTACGGTACGATTTTCTTGACCTCCATATTTTCGCCCCGCTTCGAATTTCTCACTCTTTCGCCCTCTGTGAGTATACAAGTTATCGCCTCACAACTATAGAGCTGCTCACTAGGTTCAGCATCCCATTAAGAAGAATCGAGTACCCCATGTCCACCCACCTTTTGAGGTACCTGATGGACCTGCCCGCGATTCAGCCTTTGCAGCCAAGCCAGTCCTCGTAGGCATAGCGCTCCTAACGTTTTGTCTGCCAGAGGCGGAGGCCGAAGGACTGGGGGGTGGGGAATACTTTACGATAGGTCGCATCACTTCGCTGGGTGGGTGAATGGGCTCTGAGTGGGTCGGGGCATCCAGGAGTGTCATTGTTAGATATTCACGAGAGCGCAATTCCCGACGTATTACAATCTTCAGTAGCACCTAAAAAGAGAGATATTGCTCAGATTGGGGCATGAGGTAAACAGGCATCATTACGAGGATGGACGTACTAAAGCCACAACGAAGCTCATAACAAAGTTTATCGAGAGAGCACACGTCAGGATGATCGGACTGACATCGAATTTGAAATGATAGTTGAAGATTATCTTCCCGAAGAGTGTGAACATGTTGTCGAGAACAAGTGGTAGGACTACCGTAGGAGGCAAAAGGAATGGCCACTCCCGGGAGACAAGAGTCAAGCCTCTCGGCGAGGAATGTGGGCCGTGGCCACTGGAAATGTTGTGTTTTAGGACCGGCGACCATGCTTGAGAGTGAGAATTTAAATTCAGTACGCTGGTTTCTTTTCTACACGAGTTCCCAGATTCTCCCTTGTAGGAAACAGCAAAAAACCGAGTCCCCGCCGTGGTTCGAACACGGGGCCTCAAGATTTGCAATCTCACGCTCTACCACTGAGCTACAGGGACGTGTTATGATCGGTTTGATCTGGCACCACGCGCGGGTATGTCCGAATATCAACCAAAAGTTGCGAATCAGTGTAGTAAGTAACATACTGAGTATTCAGAACAGTCCAGACTCCCTTTCAGGATGTTAGTTAGAGCGACATTCTGGAGCATATGGTCCAGGCTCCAGCCTTTGGGTCCGCTGGTTTACGGTGGCCTGAAAGAAACCCGTCCACCAGTACACACCGGTGTAGGACATGATTGGTGCCTGCTACCGCCAACCTACCGCCAAGGTCGTTAAATAGCTAATGCGTGGGTTGGCATGATTCATATGGGTGGTGGACACGAGATAACCTAGCCATACCCTCCTGCATATGCTTGCCTCAGGTGTAGACCTCTGGCCTATTCAATATTCATTCCTTTGAATGAACGCACTGGCGGAATCTCTGGCCCTTATGTAGAGGCCCGCCGCTCTATGCAACCATCCCGGTATCAATGGCCGCGGCATAATGTCACGACTCACATGGTGAGCAGTGCACATTCGCCTTGAAGCGTTCTCAGCTTACACACATATCAAATTGAGATGTTTGCGACTGTCGACATTTGGAGTTGGGATAGGAATTTGGTCTATTTGCCTACCCAGCCTACGACTTTCCTTAACTACTGGCATCGCATCATGGACGGAAAATTCAATCCCGAAGTTTGATACTGACTTATCGCACTGGAGATGGACCGCCACTGGCGTCATGAATCGATGCAGCCATGCGATGGCGTATGTCCGTACTTACACTTACTCCGCTTTGTCACCGGCATTGATAATATGGACGGGGGAGTCTGTTTCTCCTCCAGCTTGGGTCGTTGTTGGTGCGTCGTGATGTGAATGACCTCTTTCACGCTCATTTGTGAACATTTAACTCCCTCCTGTCCTAGATCGTGTTGACCGTCACAAAAAACGAAGTCACAATCGGGTGATCATCACTGTTCAAGCACACATTTAGTTGCAGGGCTCGCAGATTTCAATCTTGCAGTGCCTCTGCGTACATTCAATATCAAGTTGCATTCTAAACTTGCACCCACCAGAGAAAACTGATATATCCACTGATAGTGGTATATAAAGCATCTTACTTCGTTCGTGGTGAGCCATATCGACTGTTTTGACTTTTGCATCCCAAGATGAACCTGAAACCCTTGCAAGCGCTCGTGTACTTGGCTTTCGCAACTCTGTCACCTGTGGCTTTGGCGCATGAAAGGTGCGATTCTTCTGATTCAACTCTTCCTCAGGCTTCAGAGACTAAACCCTCTTCAGACGTGCCACTGTTATTGAAGGATCCTCGGACCTTTCCGCTCGAAACCCCTCCCAAGCTCAAGCGGATCTTGACGCGTACTTATCTTTGTTTCTGTTTCCCGCATTCTTGCAGATACTCATCATCAATGATCATCCCACATATTTAGCCGTGGCTTCTCCGACTCCTTAGACGATCTCTTTGAACGTGATTTCTCCGACTTTGACTCTATTTATGAACGTGACTTTGACGAGGACCTGAACCTGTGAGTAGTTTTATCTGTGTAACAAGGCATGATCTTTTCCCTCTTTTGTTCTAAAACGTCGCAAACAGACGAGAGTTCACTGCTACCCTGAACAGCCTCGGGCTCTCAGTGCGGGATCTGTCTTTGAACGATGGGGAGCTGGTATCCCGGATGGAGGAAATCGAAGAGCTTGATCGTCGGCTCTTTGGAATGCCCGGGCTCGGACGGGCGATCAAAATAGGGTACAGAGCCGCAAAGGGCATCAAGTCAGCTTTCGGAACAGCTGGAGGAGGTGGGGGAACCGGAAAAAGAGCGGGAGGAGCGGTAGGAGGAGGAGGGGGCAGAGGTGGACGGAGGACTCATCGCCGTGGCTATTAATAATCAGTGGTGCACATTCCTTATGTTTAAGGTTGCTTCATGCCATGCAATGTCAGACATCCTTGGCCACTTAGCAATGAAATTTCAAATATGTGTATTCAGTGCTCCGTGGCCAGCCGTAGTCGCAACGAATGATAGTCGATCGATCTCGAATGGGTTGAAAACCCATAACTTAGATACCGACCGGATTCTGGGTTATATGGACATCCTAAACCATGTCCCTGTAGCTCAGTGGTAGAGCGTGAGATTGCAAATCTTGAGGCCCCGTGTTCGAACCACGGCGGGGACTCGTTTTTTGCCTGTGCTCGTCCTTCTTTCCTTTCAAGATCTTTCGTGCCCTCAACAGTAAGTGTAGTATGATAAGTTGCGCTCCGTTTGAGCATGTATTCAATTCGAAACACTCTCATAGTCTAAGCAATAAACGATATTTTTATGATGACACACCTCAAGTCCACCAACAGACTCCAAGCGCTTCTGAACCTCTAACAAAATCCTCGACCTCTGACCTTCTGGGAACTCTAACATTGGATAAAAGGTAGCTGATTGAAGGCAAACACGCACGCGTTTAACTCCGCTCTTCACCTGGTCCACCAGCACCTTTTGCAAGGCAACCCAAATCCGATCGTCCCAGTTCATCAGGTGCTCCAGGTACATCATATTCCGGTAGTCAATGGACAGGACAATGTCACGCAGAGAGCCATGTCCGGGCCTATGCAGTGCGCTGCGCAGAGCGTCAATTGCCCACCACCACCAGCTATCGCTGGCCATCTTGGTGACGGCATTGTTCTCAATGCCGATCTTCCAGTCGGTGAAATTTAGCTGGAGGGTCTCGAGTTGGTGCAAGCACCCAAGGTCCAACCTGCCCTGTTTACTTGGCTTCCAACCATCCTCGATCGCAGTGCTTGCAAGATACCTTACATCAACCGCCAGACGCGTCATTGAGTCTTGGAGGGCAATACACGCATCGTTCAATGCTTTAAATGTCTCGGGAGAGGTAGGGCTCAAGTCAATCCGACCGACTTTCCGATGAGCGATCATCTTTAGAAAGGGCGGTTGGTCGGACGAGCCGATGTTTCCAAGCGCCAGCCACCGAAGCGGAGGAGTATCACCGCGGGTCAAAGACTTCACCGTGCGTGCCGTGCCCCGCTGCGCAACTGAGGCGAGATTACAGGTCCGCACAACCATCGCTGGGGTGGCGGCGAAGACAAAGCTTGGGATGTTTAGCAGACCTGACATATGGACGATCTTCAGGCGCTTACCCCTCAACACCTCCACCAAGGCACTTCTCAGAGGGTGCTTGAATTTACCCCAATCTGGGAAAATTCTGCATATGGGCAGGTGTCCGAGTTCAACTACCTGCACGTTAGGGGCGAGGCGGAGGATCCCGGGGAGGTGGATCGTCTCGGTGTGATCTGGGTCGTGCCAGCTGACGTTTCTCTCCCATTGTGTGATCATGTCCTCCTCCTTCAGGCTGTAGTTTGGCCAGTGTAGCTCGAGAGGAATACAATTGCTGTCTTGCTCAGGCGTTTTGTGCATTTCTATGTCGTCTTCAGCTGTGATTCCCATAGAGTCCAAAGGCACTCGAGGGACTGCATCCCGCTCAAAACGGTCTTCCTTGCTTAAAGGACTTGTCATCTGCTCGCCTAAATAGCCTCCACTGCTATGTTCGCTCAGCCTACTCCACCTCAGCCTCCCATCTTGCTCTATCGAATCCCTCAGCATCTGGATAGCACGCACATACTCACCAAGCATTGGCCGTTCTGAAAGGGTCCGGTAGAGTAGACTTATGCGTCTATCGCATTGATGTAAGTCGACAGATAGGTTGAGCTTGAGTGTATGGTACAGCACGCGGTGGGCGTGGGGTTGGAATGGCTTTATGTAGGTTAGGGAAAGGAGGGTCTGGGTGTCGGTCGCTGCGTAGTCGATTATCTCCTTCCAGATTTCATTGGGGAGTGATTGGGTGAGAAAAGAAGCAAAATGAACTCTCAGGAATTTGGTAGTGCTGCCAGTAGACATGCTCGAATCTGAGTGGTTCACTGATGATTTAGATAAATGACTGAGTTTGGTGCCGAGTTTGAGATGAAAATCGATGCTGATGGACGCATGTACTTATAGGATTGCTACCAGTGCATCGAATAGGAGGTACAAGCGCGCTTGGGTCACTCGTGCACTGCTTCAAGGACCTCTGGGGTGCCTCCATTCCATCCGGGCCCTCTAGCAACTGGCTGCGTTGACAACAAGGCGCTGAGGCCTAATTGTCCTTTGTGATGGTCCAACCTCCGGCATGGTAGCAACATTGCATGTGTAGACTCTTCGCGCAGTACGACTCAGCAACCCGTTGTGGGTATGCGGCCATATCACCACTCCCGAATCATCCCTTCCCACTAACCTCGAGTCAGGTACTATACTATCCCCCTAAACTGACCTTGCTTGACACAGCGCTTGTGTCGCCTTTACAGCGCTTCACGACAAATCAAGCAGACGACTTCGGCGGGGAAGCTAGGGAGACTCAGCTGCCGAGTGTGTGGGCAGTTAGATATACACGCACATCCTCCTTTACACCCATGTCAAGCTTCCGGCTTCAAAATGGGTTTTCCACTTGTGCTGGCAGTTTGATGCAGTCCGTCTCATGGACGGGAAGGGCGCTTTTGGGGAAAGATATTCGCGAGTCGCCGAGGATTCAGGAAGGGTGTGGTAAAGATCGACTTGGAGGTGCGGGAGGCCAGTGGCTTGTGACGTGGTGAATTGGTTATAGTATATACTATGTAGATTATCATCCATCGGCGATCGCCTACAAGTCCATACGAGACTTTATGTCTTTCAATATCATAATTGCCATTGTCATTAACATACCTGATATCTGACATATCACCCTTAACGTCCCTCACCATCTTCTCAACGGGCCTCTCCAAGTCCAGTCGCACAGCCTACTGCCCATATAACCTGACCTACAGCATAGCGACAACTCCCCACCCCTCACACAACTCGACCGAAGAGCCAAAAAGATGTTACATTGGAATCATTCACGTACATTGATTTACTTCTACCTCGGGATACCAATTGCCTTGCCTCGCCCATCACCCCTGACCGCCCCTCGCACACCAAACCCAACGCCAAAC